ATTTACTGCATACTTTGAGCTAACTACTTCTACGTTTACGCCAGCCATGCAGATCGGCGGCTTGGGATCTGCATTAACGAACACGAATTAGCTTTCCGGTAGCATTGTCTCCCGTTTTTCATCATTATGCATGCGCACGTGCGTGACCACAACCTCACTTGGGACGATGTGGCAGGGGTCGCCACAACCAATGCCGAACAGGTGCAAGAATTCATATAAACTCAGCACTCTAACGCAACCACCACCAACCGCCATGTTGAGCTGGACGCTCAATACAGAGATAGGCGGCACTGACACTCCGCGCCCACCCTAAACTGACAACTGCTAATCCGCATCGGGGTCTCTAGATTCTCGCTTACCGTTTACCTTCCCCCCTCCTTCCGGCACGGCGAGTCATATCCGAAACCCCTCCAGCTATGCTGCTCAGATGTTCGAAAAAAAGGTATTATGTTTATTTTTGAGACTGGCTACTCAGCTCGTCGTCAGACTCATGGGAAGCGTACAAAATCTTTTAGCTCTAAAGCATGTCTGACAAAGGATTCGGTGGTTTTTCAAAACCTTGCTCCAATACGAGCCCACTGGGTCGGATGCGGTTTGGTAGCCCCACTTAAAGTAACCGAACCCCAGTAACCTCTAATGCGGGACCGATTGTAATAGATGGCTCTACAGGTGGAGCTGGGGAACGCACAGGCGACGAGGTCAAATGGTTGTATGCCAAAGGAAAGCTATTGGGAGTGCGCGGTTGTACACTGAACGGTTGGGAAATAGTTGTGCTAACGCCTAACTAGAACCCCAAACTCTAACCTTTAGACCTTAAGCCCCACCATAACCCCTAACCATTAACCCCAACCAGAACAGTATTGTGTCCATCTGGTTGGGCTACCAAACCACATCTTACAACCCACTGCGTCCCGCCTCACATTCTAGACTGGTCACACCCTTCTTCATGTCCTAGTAGGAATTACGCATGTGACATCCAAACCGCTACGCCCATCCGTGTATGCCCCACCTCAGGACACGAATCGACGACATTTCTGTACTAAGTGAGTGTCAGTGATGGCAGTTTTTCCGAAGTAAATTTCTGTCTTGTGCTCAGTGTGTACATGGCCACAGTCGGAAACGACAGTCGAAATGTCGTATGTATGGCCGCCTGGGATAGGAAGCCTCATCTCATTTTTTGCTTGCTGGTGTTTATGCATACGGGAGGAAACTGCGTTCCGGCTTGACCAAAGCAAATTTCATAAAAACTAATTCGTGGGATTTTTATACGGTTTTTTCCTCTGTCTAATTTTCTAGTCCTGTTCCGAGTCCGCGCCATTCGTTCCGACACGTTTTCGGTCGTTCTTTGCACATATTGGAGACACCATTTGCTTAGGAGGGAGCGCACCGATTAAGGGTCGTAGTTGTAAAGTTATCGCCTCTCTTGTATTCTTTTTGTTTTACGGATCTGTGAACAAAGTCGGTAAAACACGCATTTGGAAGAGTAAAAAGAAAAGTCAATTTATATTTGTCCAATCAATTTCTTCGTCAAAACAACGAATTTCAAAGCGGTTTGGAAAAGTCTTAACAGAGCCACCTTTGTGGGAGGCATGATGATTGCTCTCATAAGCGTGTCTCTGATGTCAACTCATGCATGCAGTAAACCGTCAACTATTTGGTGCACGAAATATCTGAGGATGGAGATAATCTGTCAAAAGAGTTTGAAAAAGATACGGTGCATCGAAATACGCGCTTTCAAACTGACCACTTTAATACATTCGTCGGTAAGATCGCAGTTAGTGGCCAGACATTATACGGTGATACTGTCGACGTACGTACTTGTTATCAGTAGGTGTGCTTACCTTGTCCAGGGAACCTGTTATTAGTAGGTGTGGTCTTACTGATTTAGGCAGATCGTCCGTTTCGGTCAGGCTGTTGGGTTTAGTGATGGTTAGGGCTAGGCGTAGGTTAAGTTTTAGGATTAGGGTTTGCGTTTAAGGGTCAGGTTTCAGTGTTAGGGTTAGGGTTTTGGTTCCCGTTAGGGTTGCGGTTAAGGTTGAGTTTGAGGTTAAGGTTAGAGCTGGGGTTAGGGTTAAGGTTAGGGTCAGGGTAAGGGTTAAGTTAAGGGTTAGGATTATGGCTAGGTTATGGGTTAGCGTTGGGTTTTAGTATTTTGGTTACGTCTGGGTTTTGAGGCTTAGGGTTAGGCTCTACGGTTGCGGTCAGTGTTGGATTTTATGGTTAAGCGAGGGGTTTAAATTTCAACCATTTTCCACCTACTTAAAACTTCCCAGCACTTTCCTTAGTAGCTTTTACTCAGAACCTCCAGCATTCCTCTACCAGCCCTTCTATTTACCCCACCCTTATTGCCCCCTTTCCCACCATTCCCCTACGACTGGGACCTGGCTGTCCGCCTCCCCATTCCTGGCTACCAACTGCGATCTAACCCATTCGTCCGCACATCAAAACCTCCGAAATCTCTACCGACGAATCAAAACACTTCCTAGACAAATTAGAAGGAGACGGAAATGTACCTGGCAAGATAATTGTATTATTTGACATTATTCCATGATCTGTTTCGATGCTGTTGGAGTTAGCAAAATGTTGCACCGAAGTACTCCTCTAGACCAATGCGACAGATATGCGTGATAGGATGGCCTTGTCCATGTCGTGATGTGGTGCGCTTAGTCTCTCTAAGTAAGATATGAAGCTGTATTCCGTTGAATAAGAGTCTGCTGTCTGGATGTTCGGGGACCAGAGATTCCGCTTTCCATCTCTTGGAAAACTCAGCGTGTTTAAATTTAGCGCAACGAGAGCATGCTGTCGTTTGATGCAGCCTCACTTTTCACGTCGGCGTCGCAGTTTAACTTGCTTTCAATGCTTTCTGGAGTCAATCAAAGGAGGCAAACAGGACACCAAAGCGGACAAGCCCCGTTCAGCTGCTCAAACCTAGCCTTAAACATGTTTCATATATGAGGTGACGATGGATGGACTGATTGAAGTTAGTACAGTAGGATCACTGCTGTCTAGTTTCATCACCGAGACTTCTCTCCAGAAATTAAAAACGATACTTTTCCCACCAACATTCGAAGGCGGTGACTAATAACTTTTTGCTTTCATGCTGAAAATCATCCAGAACCCCACCGACTCTTGAATTTCACATTTCCCGAAATTTATTTCACACTTAAGGCAAAGGGCAACGATCATCCACCATTCTCTGTTCATCAAAACGTCAGCGGAGGCTGTTGACGTCAGCATGTCCAAAGGATTGTAACGCACACCAGGCTTTGAGTTAACATAGAAATCATTCTTTGCGCGACAAACGCAGCCCTATTTAGACCCCCTGCAAAAGGGCAGACACGCATTGAAGCGGAGTGAGTGAGAATGCAGCCGAATCCCGTTATCTCCAGTGGATGTTCAATTGTAACTAATACCCACAGCTTCATAGAACGAGGAAGACAGTTCAAACCAGCTGTGTGGTCAGCTGCGAAACACTCAAATGCCTGACAGGCAAAAGTGCGAATGGGAAACATGTTCAAAGAACTTGCCTGTCGACTGAAAACTAAAGCTAGCAATACGTCTGGTAGAGTATCCTATGACGAGGCGAAACGGTAAACGTCTTCGGCCCATTTCATGGAAGTCTTTGATGGAACTATTTAGTGGAAACTTTTAAATGCCTGCAGAACCTCATGAGTGAGCAGGAAAGAGAAATCGAGTCCCTCGCTAGGGGCGGTGTATTATGCAACCTCTGGACACGCCTTCGCTTTCCTTGACGCCGAAATCCTGGGTTAAGGAAACGATCAAACAACGTGAGAGACATTCGAGATTTGGCGTACCGATAAAACTTCCATCAAACGTTATGCGACCATGTCTACGACTGACGAAACCCTACAAGTGCATCTCAGACAACGGAACCGCAGACGTGAAGTCAGGCCGGGCGCAGCTCTAACCATGACCAGGCCGGCCGACGACATAGGTGGGTATGAACGTTAACTGTGACAGTAAGTCGACCGAGAACGCCGAAGACGGGGCTAGCCAGCCAGACTTGGCAGGAAGTTCGTCAACAGCCCTGAATAGTTGGCCCTTGGGATGGGTAATAATTTTCGGTAAAATGAACACTACGATGTAAGCCTAGAGGCGAACGAATCTTTGGGAGCCGGTAGATGAGAAAATCTTAGCCCCTATCAATCTAGGGACCCTTAATTCGATGCATATGTTTGTCTGTAGCGGCTAAGCGGTGATGGTGTACGCTCAGTACGCCACAACTTCAGACCATATCCCAAGTTGTTAGAAGCGGGACGCCATTTGGTTAGGACACTTTATTCTGTATAGAATAGTGAAGGGGAAAGTTGGCAACCGGACGAGGATGCGTCCGGCGCCGCGGAGGCGGCGTCCGCGAGAGCGACGAGCCCTGTGTCGCCGAAGGCCGCTGCTGCAAAAGTGTCATTGCAGATTGTTTACTCTGTTGTTCTGGACTGTTCCCGCCTGTCTTACCAATCAGCGATATGAGTTGCTTTGATTGGCTCCGAGCCCACGCGAAGGTAGTAACAAGCCTCGTGTGATGCAGGCAGAGAATCGACCGAATGCGTGGTGCAGACAGTGAATTCCAACGAGACAAATCGAAGCCGGGCAGACGTGCGCGCCATAGCAGGCTGTCGCTAGGACGTAGGTGCAGGCGCTAGCGAGAGGCGCGACGTAACTATTATGGCTGTCCACTACATGTCAAACTGACTAAAAGAAGACGTAATTTCCGTGAATGCGGTCGTCTTCTTTTAATCTGAATGCGGCTTTTTGATCCAGCATTACAAAAAGTTCACAGACCTGACCGCAGTAGGTCAGTGGGCCAGTGACGCGTGACAACCCTTTCCTCTTTCCAGCCATCTCGAGGTCCAGAAATCGACCCATCTTATGGCTACGCACTTGCGCTAATCACGTGTCGACCACTTGGCTGCAGCAGCGTCACCAGCGCACGTGCACAAACCCATATATACAGTTTCCCGGGGCGCCACCGTCACTGGACAATGACTGGTTCTTGCCTCTCCCTGCTCCTCCTAGTGTCCGTATTGCTCCAAGTGTCGGGAGCACGCCAATTGGCAGCCAGCTTTTCTGGCTCGGCGTACTTTGAGGGTTGCCAGGAGGATAGCTGTCAGAGGGGTGACCATCTCAAGGGTTACGGCTGCCGCAGCGGTTACTGTCAGCTGGTGTGTAACGACAACGACTGCTACCATCACGGTGTTCGGATCCGTCGACCTTCTCCTGATGAAAGCCTGAGACTCAGTCGATTCCGCTTCGAGGGGTGCTCTAGCCGCCACTGCAGTTCCGGCCACGTCAATGGCTATGACTGCCAACTGGGCCTATGTCGATACGTCTGTGAAGATGCCGTCTGCCACCGCAGTAACCACAAAACCAAGCTCTCCAACCGTGTTCTCTTCAAAGGCTGTTTGACTAACATGTGCCAACTCGGCGATCTGGTGGGTTATGGCTGTAGTAACGGTCGCTGTGACTCCATCTGTGACAAAACTGGCTGTTATACAGGTGGAGAACGACCAAAGAGCGTGGCGAAGTCTTCATCTAGAGGCAAATTCTTATTTGAGGGCTGTTCGGACAACATTTGCCTGAGCGGCGACCGCCACGGTTACGGCTGCTCTAGCGGTGTCTGTGATATGATTTGCGAGAAAGACGAATGCTACCACGGTGACAGGGTTTACCACTTTCATATGAAAGGCAAAGTTAAGGAAGCCATTGAATTTAATGGTTGTCAGGATATCAACTGCAAAGGCCCTCGTGGATTCGGGTATGACTGTGAGACTGGACACTGTGCTGTTACATGCGATGATCATCAGTGTTTCAAAGCCATAATCTCTCCAGCAAAGCCCATGCCGCGTAGAAGTGTGTCGCTGGCAACTCCAAAACGTAAAAAGGAGGCAAGTTTCACGTTCCACGGTTGTGGAGCAGAGAAGAGGTGTCAGACTGGGTCAACTTTCGGTTATAATTGCCAGGGTGGAATTTGTGACTATGTTTGCACGTCAGACGCCTGCTTGTACAAGGGTGAGCCCATGTTACCTCAGGAAGGCAAGGAACCCCCGAAAAAGGTCTCTCTCTACTTCGATGGTTGTCTCTCTTCGGTCTGCTTCATGGAGGACTTTGACGGCTTCCAGTGCAACCGTGGACGATGTGCTCTGGTCTGTGGTGACGAAATGTGTTTTGATGCGGAGAGTTACGACAAAGCCTTCAATGTCCCGAAGAACACACCTCCTCCGCCACCACCAAAGACCCCTGAGGAGGAGTTTGACTTCGGCAAGGAACTCCAAAAAATCCAGTTTAGCAAGTTCTTCAATTTCGGTGACACACCGTTCTTTTAATTTTTGTTCTGACATTGAGTCACCTTTTGTATATATTATCACTGTCTTCAACATAGGGATTTAGATGTGGCTATTGTCGGCTAGAGGGTTGATTACATTTCCTATTATGACAAGCTTTACTTCTGTCCCCTAAATTGGGATAGAAGTTACGTTTGTCGGGCAGTTGATGCATTGGGTCCGAAGATGATTGACGTTGTCGATCCGCACGCAGGAATGTCCGTTGACAACACGGGGATGTTGGGTCGGGTTGAGTGACAATGTTGTGGGTTAGGGACGCCTGCGGCTTGCGAGATCCTCGCTTGACTTTGGCGGTGATCCGGTATGCTTCATAGATCGCTGACTCAGTCTTCGCTGTTTTTCTCCAGACAGGTCTGTTCTGGGTAAGGACCTCCTGGGAACAAGGAGGTGGGTTGCGAGTAGCTACAACAGCGATTTCATCATTTAGATTGATGTTGGCGTTGGGTAGACTCTTCTCAGACGAATATATAGAAAAGTAGGTCAGATGTGGTTATGTAGCCCCACCTGAAGTAAACAAACCCCAGCCACCTGTAATACGGGACCGGTGGTTATAGGGGGTTTTTAAAGGTGGAGCCGAGGGGACGCACCGGCGACGAGGTCAAGTAGTTGTATGCAAAAGAAAAGCTATTGGGAATGCACGGTTATACTTTGAATGGTTGAGAAATAGTTGCCCTAACCACTAAATCTAGCCCCTAACCAAAACCCTAACCCCAACCCCAACAGTTCTTTGTCCATCCGGTGGGGCTACATAACCACATCTTACCGAAAATACCTAGTTATCATATTTTCTTCAAAGGTATGCTTTTTGCAGAAAGAATTTAACCTCAGTTAAATAATGCTCTAACAATAAGCTAGTGCTGGAAATGCCGTTCGGAGAGCTTAACACAAAAGTAATAAAGAAGTTAGGTCCGGCCAACGCACTGTTTCAGTTAACCATCCTCAGGCCTGTACAGTAATGCAAGTAAGTTAGGGTAAAGTAGCGGCTCAGCAGAGAGAATATGTGCAGCATGTGAGCTACAATCTTCAGGCGAAATTCCATGTTTGAAGGGAGAAGACAAAGGGGACCAGAATAAGGGGTTTATTGTGCACAGAACCCGGAGTTGTCCTCTCAGGCGACAGTGGCCACTGGCGAAGCCAGGGATGGTGCTGACTGCGTCCAGACAGGCCTGAGAGTCCCTGAGACAATGGTGGCAGCCGCTTGTGTAGGCTCGTGGGCCAAGTTCAAGTGGTCTCCAGTCGGCGTGTGTTGCATTTGCCGAGGGGTGGTGTCCCAGTGGCTTAGGTTGTGGTTGCAGGGGGTGGCGCGTTCAAGTGGCCGCATGGGCAGCTGCGGCCACTCGCGGACGCAAGTATGTCCGAGCTGTTGGTTGTGTGACTTCAGGTCACCTCGTCTGGGACGGTTCGCTGCAAGGGATGAATGACCTTGAGGCAGCGAGGTCTGGAACAATGACGCCAGACCGGTCATGATGTCTGGCTGTTACAGGGTAAAGTAGCGAAAGCTGAAGGAGCCAATGAACAAAGATATGGGGAAGGTGATTGAGGGCGTTCAGACATGCCGCTTCTGCCGGGGGCTTGGGTAGGGGGAGTGGGGGGTCTGTCTGTGAGCTATGCTTCGTGTTTGAAGGTCACTGCTAGGGTTAAGCGAAGATTACAATGGATTTGTAATATCTGGCCTTTTGTCATCATCGACCAGTCATACGGATGTATGGCATTACCTGAAGCCTAACGCGTACCCGGTTGGTTCTGCTAAAACGGACACTAGCATTTTTATCTGTGGTCAGACTACGGCAGAAAAGTCCTCCCAACGAGTCTTACTGGGCTTCGAAAAAAGAGTGTAGGTTGTGGCCTTTTTAACGACGTATGCAGACTTTTGCAATTCCATCTTTACCCGCTTCCTAGACGAGTTAGCTGTACATGCGCCAAGCTAGTTCGTGTGCATGAACGTTGGTAATTGCGTGGACATGAGTGACTCGAACGCACGGCGCATGATATATATAGGCAGAATGGCATTACGGACAAAGTAAAGGGAGACTGGAATGGCTATTTCTGGCTATTTCGGGCCATGACTGGCTGACGAAGGCTAATAAGCCAGAAATAGCCATTCTAGTCTCCCTTTACTTTGTCCGTAATGCCATTCTGCTCATATATCATGCGCCGCTGTGCGACTGCTGATTGGGCTCGAGAGGGAAAGCCCTTAAGGCACAACGGAACGAGTGAGTTCCGTAAGAACGATTGGTGAGCGCCCCCTACCACTGTATATTCCCGATCGAAAACCGACAGGGCAGCGGGCTCGTGGTCCAGTGGTTAGAGGCGTGGACTTCTAACCAACAGGTCGCGAGTTCGAGCCTCGGGTGTTCCGCACTTCGGGGTTGGGTATGACTGGCTGACGACGGCTAATAAGCCAGAAATGGCCATTCCAGTCTCCCTTGCCTTTGTCGGTAATGCCATTCTGCATATATGCGTATCTATTTAACAGAATATCATATGGCTTCCGTGCGTAATGTCCCTGCTGGCAGCTGAATAGCCAAGATCAAACAACCATTGAACATGATAGCGAGAACGATGAACTGGATTAAAATGCTCATTTTCGACTCGTTGGTTATTTTTCGTCAATTTCGACCCAAACACAGAAGGTAATGGGACGTTCAGATGGACCCTTTTGCCATCCAGCACTTTAAGCCAACAATCCGCATTACTGCGATGACCTGTCCTGGTATTTCGCAATAACGGGAACGGTATGCGCGATCGCCCATTGTTCTAAACCGCATAGCAGAGGAAAAATTTGACCTGCCACGGTAAAGAAGTGTCACCAAGTATATTGCCACCAAACTGAAGATGTACAAAGATGTCATTCTGCCGACGCTGCTGCATGAAGAGCATACCTGGACGTTTTACAAGAAGCAGGCACGAAGACTTAACGAATTCCACCTGAAGTACCTCCAGCGTGAGGCTGAGGTGACAGGACCGGATCCCGGACACAGACGTACTGGAACGAACAGAAATCCTCAGCATCTATGCCATACTGAGACAACTGCAATCGTACTGGAGCAGCCGTCTCGTGTGGTTGGACGACGAGCGACTATTCAAACGACTCTTCTACGGAGATGTCGCTACTGGTTCCAACCGATGAGGAGGCCAAGTTCGACGCTAGAAGGATAAACTGAAGACTACCACGAGGCGCCTGCAAATCGGCCCGGCCAACTGGGGAGACCACGCCCGAGACTGACCGACTTGGGGGGAGCAGTGAAGACAAGCGCAGCGATCTACGAAGCCAACCGCGTCATCGCCGCCAAAGCCAAACGCGAAGCTCGTAAATCTCAACTATCACCTCCTCACAATGCTAACGCACCACCGTCCCCGACCTGCTCACGATGTCAACGGACGTTCCAGGTACCAGTTGGTCTCATTAGACATCTTCGTACCAACCAGAGCTCCTGGACGACACCAGCCGATGTCCCCCATTTATCTGTGCTTCGCTCCCCACACCGACAATCAACACAAACCGCACTCCTAAACCCCCCACCGCCATCCTCCTCCATCTCCTGAACATCCGCTGCGACGGTTCCTGCACCCACCTCCACCGCACTCAATCCTAGCATACCGACAAACAGCCTCACCACCGCCAACACCAGCGATGTGGACTCGGTCCACACCTGTTCTCATTGCGATCGCACCTTCACCTCACACATCGGCCCAGTCGGTCACTTGCGAACCTACCGCACAGAGATGGGAAAACCAGCGCCTGAGGCAACAACATACCCCGAAGCATCTGCCTTTACTGCCCTCACTGCACCCACACATTCACTCACCGTATGGGCCTTCTAGGTCACATGCGTATCCACGAGAGCGGAATTCATCTGAGCATCGAAACGCCTAGCACACCCTGCAGACCCACCATGCCTTGCGCAGATCACAAATCGCCGCCCGGCGCGCCCATCGCCAGCAGCTCCACCGCCGCCGTCATCGCTGAAACCGACCCTGACACCATCGATCTATCCTGTTCAAACTGTTCCCACACCTTCAGCTCACACATCGGCCTGGTCGGGCACTTGCGAATTCACCGCACAGAGACTGGCGAACCAGTACCTGGAGCACCAACATACACCAGACGCATCCGCCTCAACTGCCTTCACTGTACCCGCACACTCACTTACCGTATGCGCCTATTAGGCCACATCCGCATTCATGGAAATCTGCAGTAGACAGCCGCCGGCTACACCACACCATCACATCTTCCACCACCTGTAACACACAACATCACCAACCACAAACATCCACCTTCCATACAAGTGGGAAGTGTGCGTTTTCGGTACGTTTCCATGCGGCCCCTCTGCTGCATATGTGATTAGAGTCTTAGTGCGTAAAGCGCCGTGGTTTCGAAGACTGCTGACTAGCGCCCCAACTCAGTCCACGCAGTGTGCCCAGTTGTGTTTGCGTCTGTTGGGAATGGCTGACTGGTGGGTTGGAAGCCAAGCTGAAATGACTCGTTCTTCAGGTGACCTATGACACTCACGCATGTGAGATGTATGCCGCCCAACCCCTCTTGTGTGGAATCCTGGTGCTTGTGTTTAGGGGACCAAATCGTATGTGTGGCGCGCACAGACAAGGTCACTAGACATGCCAGCCACCGTGCCAGTCCCTCGCACCTGTCAACTGACCGACCCGCACAGTGACTGAGGCCTGGGAAAGGGAAAAGAGAGTGAGGTAGACTACTCAGCGCATTTTCCTCACTTTAAGCAATCCGTCGCACTTGAAGCTATCGCAGTGCGCTAAAAGACGTGACTTGGATTGTTTTCCAACGGACAGGATAACGTGGACCTTGCAATCGGCGCAGTTTGGTGTGTTTGTGTGGAGCAGCTGACTGGTGGTCTAAGAGTGAGGCCGCAAGGGCTCCTTCCTAATGTGGTTTGGATGACACTCCCACTCCATGGGATCCAAGCGGGGTGTGGCGGAATTCATATGGGCGGCTTGCAGCCGCTCCA